TACAGGCACATGACACCATACCCAGTTAATTTTTGTATTTTTAATAGAGATGGGGTTTCATCTTGTTGGCCAGGATAGTCTTGATCTCCTGACCTCGTGATCACCCACCTTGGCTCCCCAAAGTCTTGGGATTACAGATGTGAGCCACCATTGACTTTGAAAGTGATTAATTAATACAGTTGGGTTAATGTCTACCATGTTTGTTACTATTTTCTATTTGTTTTTCTTTTTTTTTGTTACTTTTTTCTTAAGTCTTTTTCTTTGTGGTTTTATTTTAATAATTTTATTTATTATTATTTTGAGACAGGGTCTCTCTTTTGCCCAGACTGTAGTATAGTGGCAGGATCATAGCTCACTACAGCCTTGAACTGCTAGACTCAAGTGATCCTCTTGCCTCAGCCTTCTGAGTAGTTGGGGCAGCAGGCATGTGCCACTACACCTGGCTAACTTTTAAATTTTTTGTCAAGATAGCATCTTGCTATGTTGCCCAGTCTGGTCTTGAACTCCTGGACTCAAGTGATTCTTCCACCTTGGCCTCCTAAAGTGCTGGGATTACAGGTGCCAGCCACCATGCCTGGCTTTTCTGTGGTCTTAATTCAGCATTTCATATGATTTCATTTTCTCTTTGTTAGGATATCAGATATAATTCTTTTTGTCCCACTTTTTTTTAGTGGTTGCTCTAATTTGCAATATATATTTACAATTAATCCATACTCACTTTCAGATAGCATTGTACTATTTAATGGGTAGTTTGAGTACCTGATAATAACAAAATATTCGTAATTCCTCCCTCCCATTCCTTGTATCATTGCTATCATTCATTTCACTTACATGTAGGTACACATAAGCAGATGTGTGTGTCTCTATATAGACACCCCCCCCACATATATATATGCATATATACACACACATAAGCATACATCGTTGAATACATTTTTGCCACTATTTTTCTGAACAATGTGTTGTTAGACCAGTTAAAAATAAGGAAAATAGGGCACACACAGCAGCCTTTAGTACTTTGGGAGGCTGAATCCGGCGGATCACGAGTTCAAAACCAGCCTGATCAACACGGTGAAACCGCATCTCTACTAAAAACATGAAAAATTAGCCGGGTGTGGTGGCATGTACCTGTAGTCCCAGCTTCTCAGGAGGCTGAGGGAGGAGAAGCACTTGAAAACAGGAGGCAGAGGTTGCAGTGAGCCGAGACTGCGCCGCTACACTCCAGCCTGGATGACAGAGGTGAGACTCCATCTCAAAAAAAGAAAAAGAAAATTTTTGTTTTACCTTTACTTATTCTGTATTTGATGCTTTTCCTTTCTTTGTAGACATAGGATTCTGACCTATGTATTTTTCTTCTCTTAAAATAAGTTTTCAAAAAATTTCTTGCAAGGCAGGTCTACTGGCGACAAATACCGTCAATTTTTGCTCGTCTGAGAAAGTATTTCCCTTTCATGTTTGAAGGATAATTTCACAGGGTACAGAGTTAGAGATTGTTGGTTTCTTTCTTTCAACTCTTTAAAATACTTTACTTCACTTCTTGCTTTCATGGTTTCTGGGAAGATGTCAAATGTCGCTCTTTGTTTCTTTATATGTAAGGTTGTTTTTTTCCTTGCTGGCTTCTTTAGGATTTTTTTCTTTATCTTTGATTTTCTGTAGTTTGAAAATGATATGCTTAGGTGTAGTATTGGTTTTGGCTTTTATTTATTTTTTTTCAAGTACAGCCCTTTGTATTAGGCCTTTAACTTGTTTGGTGTTCTATGAGCTTCCCGGATATGTGGCTTGTTGTCTGAATTAATTTGGAGAAATTCTCCGTCATTATTGTTGCAAATGTTTTGTTGCTTTCTGTTTTCTTCACTTTTTGATGTCCCCTTATGCATGTTATACATTTTTTAGTTGTCCTGCAGTTCTTTTAGATTGTTTTTTTCATTCTTTGTTGTTTTTGCATTCAGTTTTGAAAGTTTCCATTGGCATATGCTCGAGCTCAGGGTATCTTTCCTGTGCTCTGTCCAGTCTACTAATGAGCCCAGCAAAGATATTCTTCACGTGTTGCCAGTTTTGACCCCTGGCATTTCTTTTTGATTCTTTCTGATAAGTTCCATTTCTCTGTTTACATTGCCACTCTGTTCCTGCATGTTGTCTGCTGTATCCATTAGAGCCCTTAGCATATTCATCATAATTGTTTTTGATATCTGGCCTGTGTATGCCAACATCACTGCCATATCTGGTTCTACTGGTTCTTATGATTGCCCTGTCTCTTCAAACTGTGTTTTTTGCCTTTTAGTATGCCTTTTAATTTTTTCTTGTTATCTGAACATGATGTGCCAAGTAAAAGAACTGCTGTAAATAGGCCTTTCATTACGTTGTGGTAAGGTATTGCGGAGGGGAAGCATTCCATAATTCTATTATTTAGTCTCAGTCTTTCAGTGAGCCTGTGCCTTTAGAATGTGCACTCCACAAGTGTTTGTTTTTTCCTCCCCTTAGGATGGACAGGGTAGCTTGAGGGAGCTAGAGTTGGGTACTTCCCTTTCCCTAGGCTGCTTAGGCTAAGATAAAACCCCAGCTGGTTAGGTTTTCCTGAGGGCAGACCTAAGAACAAAATGCCTTGTTATATTTCAAAATGACCCTTTTCTTCTCCCCATGCTGGAAGCCCACGGGGAGTTTTCTCCGTTATTTGCTATGAAAACTGGGTTCTGGCTGGGCACGGTGGCTCACGCCTGTAATCCCAACACTTTGAGGGGGCCGAGGCGGGTGGATCACTAGGTCAAGAGATCAAGACCATCCTGGTCAATATGGTGAAACCCCATCTCTACTAAAAATACAAAAAATTAGCTGGGCATGGTGGCGCGTGCCTGTAATCCCAGCTACTCGGGAGGCTGAGGCAGGAGAATTGCCTGAACCCAGGAGGCGGAGGTTGCGGTGAGCCAAGATCGCGCCATTGTACTCTAGCCTGGGTAACAAGAGCGAAACTCCGTCTAAAAAAGAAAACTGAGTTCTGTTCCTGGAGGTAAAACTCACAAAAGTATGGAGGCCCCCCATGACTGGATCCCCTGGAGTTTTTAACTCTCAGACTTTTCCATACCGAGCCTGCAGCAATTCATCAGTTACAGGTCAGATATTCCTTCTCTGCTGATTACTGTGGAGGTTTCTGCTTGAGAAGAGTGTATCCCCTGGTATGTTAGTATTCTCTGAATTTGCCTGTCTATCTCTCCAGTTTTAGAGGCAGCAGTTTATCCTGTTACCTGCTCTTATGGATCTAAGAATAGTTGTTGATTTGTTAGTTTGTTCATGTTTTTACTTGTCAGGATGGAGTGGCGACTTCCAAGCCGTTTACACACAGAACTGGAAACTAGAAGTTGTAAATGACCTTCCTTATTAAAGATTAAGTTGCTTGACGGAAGAAACCAATTTTCCACATTTTGTTTATTTTTAATCTTTGCAAGTGTTGTACATGAAAAGTAGTTATCTTGTTTTAAATGGCATTTGTCGTCTTTTTTTTCTGTTGGAGTATTTGTATTTTAACTTAATTTTGTAAGATTTTTGTTATGAAAATATATTGGTCTTTATGTATTTTAGGGTTTAGTGTGTGTGTGAGCTTCCTTGGTTGCCAGAGCAAATTACCACAGTCATGCTGGCCTAAAACAACAGAACTTTGTTTCCTCACAGGAGGCCAGAAGTCTGAAATCAAGATGCTGGCAGGGTGGTGCTCCCTCCAAAGGCTCTAGAGGAGAATCCTTCCTGGTTCTCCCAGCTTCTGCTGGCTTCTGGTATTCCTCGACTTGTACCAGCAGCAGTCAGCTCTCTGTCTCTGTATTTACTCAGCCTTGTTCTTTGTATCTTTGTCTAAAATTTTCTTATCTTTCCTCTGATACAGATATTGGTCATTGTGATTAGGGTCCCTAAATTCAGGATAGTCTTACCTCAAGATCCTTAATTACATCTGTGAAGACCTTGTTTCAGAATAATAGCATAATTTATAGTTACCAGGCTTAGGACTTGGATATATCTTTTTGAGGGGACACAGTTCAAGACATTAGAGTGTTAAACTTAGAAGACATTATCCACTAAAGGATATAAGACAATCCATCTGTATTTTTCCCTATACTTTTACATTTAAATCTTTAAGTCATCTGGAATTTATTTTGATGTTTCTTTTTGTATAGTAATGTTGGCAAAGCATCCAGTTAATAAATGGTTGGTTGGCACTAGGATTTGAACCTATGTCTTTTGTATTTCAAAGTCATCATCTTTTATTTAGAACAACCTTGTTTTAGTATTGTAACTTTCAGAAACTGTGCCTTATCAGATTGTTCTTATTGCTTGTCTTATTATAGCAGAAAGGACTGCTGTTAATAGGTTTCAATGGCATGCAATAACCATGGTGGCAGCCAGATATCCACAAACGGTATTGAAGACATTTGAGCCCCTTTTCAGCAGTTGTTACTTTAGGAAAGAATAACAGGTGCCACTTGGAAAAATATTTTGGAGAGCATAGTTTTAAGGCACTGAATTAATTTGCTCTGACTGATACAAATTTTATTGGACTGCTCAGGGGCATTTATAGTATAAACTGCTTTATGCCTATTAAAGATACTAGTATCTAGTATTAATATCAAGGGCTGTTTATTCATATTAACTTTATTAGGCTGGTCACATTAATAGGCTTACCACTCTTGTAGAGACTTTTATTGGTAATAATAAAAGTTGAGCTGACATTTCTATCATCCTGTAATGTAATGCACACATAGAGCTTACTTTTGGTGTGTGAATCTCTTGATATATTTCCCATGACTGCATCACAATGTCTGGTTTTAGTAAGTTGCTTATCATTGGTTCATATATTCATACATAGGCTAGAATACAGTGAATACTCTATGTACTATTCCTTCATATATTAAACATTTTATATCAACTATATAATTTTTCTCATGAATTTTTAGCATAAGTTATAAACAACAAAACTTACTGTTGCTGTGTTAAAAAATCTGATTTTTTTTTTAAAGGAAAGTACAAGAAAAGATGTTCTGGTGAAGACCCTCAGGGCTACTGATGTGAAACTTAACTCTGATAATTTTCATGATGCAAGTGCAGATGGTGGATTTGACCCAACTGACCCTGTAAAACAGGAGGCAGAGTGTCCTCATCAAAATAAGATAGTTTTGCACATGGATGGATGTTTAGACACTGAGACGCCTAAAGTGTCCATTCAAGAAAATGTGGATATAGCGTCTTTGAAACCTATTAGTGACAGTGGAATTAATTTCACTGATGCCGTTTGGTCACCAACTTCTGAAAGGCAAACATGTGAATGTCATGAGTCCATTGAAAAGAATAAAGACAGTAAGTGGGCTTTCAAAAACAATAGAGTGAAAGAAATAAATGTTTGTACGTTTTGAATAAGATGTATTTCTGTGTGAAATGTGCCAATCTTTCATGTTAAATATTTAAGTGTTTTGTAGTTTAAACAAAATTTTAAATCTAGTACAGGGAGAACTGCTCAGAAATGGTATCTTTAATCAGAGATCTAGTGAAAATGTGCCTTTCTAACTAAGTCTTAACATTCTTTTTCTTTATGCCTTATTCCCCATTATAGACTTTTTTTTTGTAATTGATGCTGGCTTATCTTCCATCAAAGAGATACTTTTCTTTTGGGGAAATGGGTTTTTCTTTTTCTAACTAGTTTTGCAAGACTTCAGTACTGTTGATAACTAAGGTAGTCATCTAAATTTTTTTATAAATTGAGAATGTTTTATCATTTTAGTTATTGCATGTATCATTGGATATTTTTGGAATTTTATTTTTTAGAAAGAGAACTCCCACAGAGTGTGGTCTATCAAAATGAAGAGGGTAGGTGGGTGACGGACCTTGCCTATTACACATCTTTTAATAGCAAACAAAATTTAAATATGTCTCTAAGTGATGAGATGAATGAAGACTTCAGATCTGGTTGTAAGTATACGGATAAACATTTATTATACCATTTTCACTGTTTCTGATCTTTATGAGATTACTCTATATATGTTGGTCAGGCACATCAGATCCCTTCTGGGCTATCACTGTATTCTGGAAGTGCCTCACTAGCTTATATAGGACCCACGGTTTTAGTTAGCCAGTCTTAATCATTGTAGAATGAGCCGAGCCATATCCTTAAGCAAAGGCAATGAGTGAGAATAGCATTCTTATATTTCTTTGTAGACCCCATAGTATTGCAGGACTGGAAGAGACTTTAGGCTTTGCTTGTCCCTTTAAAAATTCTGACCTGAGCAAAGGAAATGTCTTGATAAATCAGTAGTTACAAAAACCAGTCCATGAAAGCTAGGAAGTATGGTAGAAATGATGGAAGAAAAGTAACCAAAAAGATAACGAAATCTCAAGGGATAAAGTGTTAAAAGAAGCAGTTAGGTTGTTGATCAGCATCATCTCTGACAGTGAATATAGAAACTGGTTTAGCTCTGCACAATGCCAGGTCACAGCATTTTGAGCCTGAGTCTGTGAAGATGCTGTGCTGCAACCCTCAGGGCTGAGCTGTTCTGTAACTGCGAGGAGCCACGGTGCTCACGGGCCTGGCAGGCCTGGCCTTACTGCTAATAGGCTTGCGCCAGAGGAAGAAATTATTCCATCTACTGCTTGTACTAAGCTTCTTTCAAAAATGCCTCGTGTTGTGGAATACAGTGATAAATAAGGCAGCATGCCAGTCCTTAAGAAACTGTCCATCAGCCCAGAGGGATGAGACAAGAATACAATACACAGTCATTGGCATCATGAGAGACTCAACCCAGAATCATTGGAATTTAGAGGAGAAACAAATGTTGCGTGAGATGGTAGCAAAAGAATTTCATATAGGAAGCCACTTTTGAAGTAGACTTTTAACAGGTAATCCTTCGGGGATATGAGAAATTTCAAATGGTGGAAAAGCCTCATTGGAAGGGAATCGGATGGTGAAGTGTGGATGTGTTTGAGAAGGTGCATGGTTCACTGTCGCCAGCCTTTATGGCAGGGTGAAGGGAGAGCGGCGAGAGGCTAGGAGGTGAAGCTGGAGAGGTCAGGAGGGCCAGGGAGTGGTTTGAGGTTTAACCACCATGCCCAGGATTGAGGCTTGTCTGGAAAGTGGCAGGACTAGTTGCTGGTAGAACTTGATTGGTGAGTCTTCTCCTGGCAGTAAAGGTCATTTGGTAGCGTTTTTAGGATGTTGTAGAAATCTAGGTGTCCCAGTGAAAATGAAGAGAGTAGCTAATGAAAGACGTAGAGGTAATATGGTTAGGATTTGATGGCTGGACTTCAGGGGATAGTAGAAAGGCAGGAAGAGAGGAGGGTCTGTGGTCTGAGTTACTTGGGGCAATGGCAATACCATTACCTGAGTAAAGGAGTCAGAAGAAAGTGTAGATTCTGGGTGATTGTGATTTGAGGCAGAAGTAGTCATTAGTGGAAATAGGGATCAGAAGTGTGAAGCTGAGTTTCAGTTAGGACTTGCTCAGTGATGTCTTGAGCTAAGGAAAACGATGCAGACTGAACGGTGGATATTTATCACTTAAAAGATCATGGAATTCTCATGTGTTGCTGGTGGGAGTATAAATTGGTACAGCCACTTTGGAAACCTGTTTGGCAGTGTCTTGTGAAAGTGAACTTTATGACTTAATAATTCTACACCTGAGTACATACACAACAGATAGGGTGTACATATTCACCAAAAGACATACTAAAATGTTTATAGCAGCACTATTTGTGTCAGCCCCAGATTTTCAAATTCCCATTAGCAGTGGAAGTTTCTAAATCACTGCAGAACCACCCTGCCCTCCCACTGCCATAGAATGGATTATGCTTATTCATACCCTGGAATATTAGGTTGCAGTGAGAATGAATGATGTACAGCTACATGCAACAACGTGGCTCTATCTCAGGAACATGTGGAATGACATGAAGTCGACCAGGAACACACACTCTGTAGTTCTGTGTGTATACAGCTCAGCAGTGCACTCCTACAGAGCCAGCTGCAGGGCAGTGGTTACACGTGGATGGGCAGGTAGCAAGGGAAGCCAGGCTGGGGGGATTTGGGTATTGGCAGTGTTATGCTTCTTAATTTGTGCTGTTGGCTACGCAGATGTGTTCCGATTGTGAAAATTCCTTGAACTGTACACTTCACTTCTCTATCATAACATGTTTTTAAAAATTAGTGGTCAAACTGAGAATAAAAGATTTGCAATATATATTACAGGTTTAGAGTCCATTCTCCTAATAAATAAACAATTCTAATAAACAATAAGAAAAAGACCAACTACCGAAAAATTGGAAATGATTTATAGAAAAATAAAAATGGTTTTATTAAATGTACAACAAAAAATGTTCATTTTTATTCATGGAAAGGAATTCATTGTAAATCTGACTAATCATGTATTTTTCAGTATTTCCTTGATTGTGATCCAAAAATTTGGTAATAAAACTGTGTTGGCAAAGATATGAGGGTCACAGGTATGCTAGTCCATTCTTGGCACAGAGCTAGACATTGTCCAGCTATAATGACATTGCAATAACTAGCAAAGTTACGTATGTGCTATCCTGTAACTGAGCAGTTCTGCTTCTGGGAATTTATTCATCAGATACACTTGCACGAATGGTATATGATGTATGTGCAAGCTCATTACTTGCAGCATTGTCTGTAATAACAAGGTTGGATGCAATGTAGATGAACAAAATAGGGTATACATTAAGGTGCATCCATACAAAGAAGTACCCTGTGGCCATACAGAATAATAAAGGAGCTCTTTCCTTACTCAAATGGAATGGTCACTAAAATAAATTATGTAAAATCCACTTCAAAGCACATAAATTACTCTTAACATCTGTGTAGAAAGGTAGGAGAGGGGAGCGTGCACATACAGATATTTGGAAAGACATGCAATGGAAAGATAGATACTAACTGCAGGAATCTCAAAAATTCAGGTAGACATTTCAGGGATATTTTAACTATTGGTTGCTTCTGGGGTGTGGGAAACTAGGGTCAGGGATGGCGAGATAGTTTTCAGTATATACCCTTGTAAATCTTTGGTTAACTTTGAAAAGCTCTTTATTGTGGTATCATATATACACCTTTTAAATTTGAATTATTAGATATATTACTATTAAAGAAAAAATAAAATAGGAAATGATAATGGAAAGATTGAATGAAACCATCCTTGTCCTTAGGGAATGAATACTAGTCTGGTTGGAAAGGATGACTAGCATGGGTGGGGAAGAAAAGGAGATGGGGAGATGGAAAGCTGTTAAAAAGGTTGGTGTACAGGAAGAGTGGATGGGTGCTAGGAAGGATGAACTAGATCCAGGGAAATAGGGGTGGAGGTAGCATTAGTGAAATGGGAGCCTTTTTACTGGAAAGAAGAAAAGAACTTTAAAAATTTAATAGAAGGATGTATTCAGAAGAGGAAGGTTGGAAAAAAGAGTGCCATCTTGTTACATCCAAGTCATTTTAAATGAAAATTTGCCTACTTACAAACTTTATTCAGAACAGTTCCTAAGAGAGCCTGCCTCCTCCTCTTCCCCATACCTGGCTTCTTCCTCGCTGATAGCTCAGCTCCGTGTGTCCAAGTTGCTGCATTGCTACTACTTATGGCCTAAGAGTTTGACAGTGGGGAAACACAAATGGGGTACTTCCATGTATAACCTCAGAAGCATTCAGTATAAGAGGATTATTGTTTTAGGTATGCCAAAGAATAGGCATAGGTTCTCATAAAAAATGAAGTTCTGTTTCTTATTGGCTGTGATTGATTTCTGATGAGTAGACAAGATAACATAATATTAGTACAGATGTTTCTTTGAAGAGTCCTTTATAGTTCAGAGTAAAAGCACTTAGGGATATAAGACGATTTTGAGCTGTCTGGTCAGTTGTTTAAAAACCAGGTGATATTTAACTTCTTGAAGTAAGTTAAGTTTCTTTTGGGTTACCCTCTGTATTAGTTCATTTTCATGCTGCTGATAAAAGACATACCTGAAACTGGGAACAAAAAGAGGTTTAATTGGACTTAAAGTTCCATGTGGCTGGGGAAGCCTCAGAATCATGGCAGGAGGCAAAAGCCATTTCTTACATGTTGGTGGCAAGAGAAAAAATGAGGAAGAAGCAAAAGTGAAAACTCTTGATAAACCCATCAGATCTTGTGAGACTTACTATCTTGAGAATAACATGGGAAAGACTGACCCACATGTTTCAGTTACCTCCTCCTGGGTCCCTCCCACAACACGTGGGAATTCTGGGAGATAAAACTCAAGTCGAGATTTGAGTGGGGACACAGCCAAAACATATCACCCTCTTTTGGGCCAAGTTTCCTACTTCCCTTCTCTTGGCTATCAGATTTGGTTGGTTGGTCCTTTCATCCTTTAGGGCAGTGGTTTTTAACAGCTTGAGTCAAAGATCCCACAGTGACTCTTCATAGAAACATACAGAGTATATGATTTTGCATATAATTTTGGGGGCTTCATAGTTCTCCTGATCCTCATTCTTAAGTTCTGTGCTGTAGGTTAAGAATGTGTGTGTGGTTTTTTTTTTTTTTTTTTTCAGGCTGAGCATTTTGGCTTAATGCCTGTAATGTCAGCCCTTTGGGAAGCCAAGGTGGGTGAATTGCTTGAGCCCAGGAATTCGAGACCAACCTGGGCAACATGGCAAAACCCCCATCTCTACCAAAAAAAAAAAAATACAAAAATTAGTTGGGGTTGGTGGCACATGCCTATAGCCCTAGCTATTGGGGAGGCTGAGCCAGAGGATTGCTTGAGTCCAGGAGGTAGAGGTTACTGTGAGCCAAGATTGTGCCACTGCACCCTAGCCTGTGCAATAGAGCAAGACATTGTCTCAAATAAGAGTCTCAAATAAGAGTTCTTCACACGGTGAAGAACTAGCATTGTTTCCGACAGGTAGGGAGCGTTAGTGGTCTTTGGTGCTCTGCTTTTCCTGAACAGATATATTCTGTGTCTCTTTTGTCTCTCAGGTTATGAATGTGGGACACTGTCTAGGATTACAAAGGAGCAATGTGGATCTGATTGGTCCTTGATGGATACAATCAGGGATAGTGGGGAGCCTCCCTCATGTTTGGGCCTTGAGTGGACTGTCCCCTCTGGGTAGCCCTTCAGTTTTCTCCTTTCTGTTCCAACCTTGCAGTTTCAGACAGAGAAGCCCAGAGTGCCATAGCCAGGCAGTCTGGCATGTGGCTGGCAGACCTTTCTCATTTCACCAACGTATTTAAAGTTCGTTGGCAATTCTGATGCCTCAAGCAGGGTCTTGGGCCTCTTAGAATCCACCCCACTCCCAGTTGTGTTTCCTTGCCCTGGCCCTCTTTGCCCATTTGCCCCATGCCTCTGCGGGCATTTTAGTTGTGGCCTTTGGCCTGGGGTTGAGAGTGTGCTTAGACTGGCGTTCCTTTTCCCAGGGGGAGCCAAGGTGCTCTGCAGGAGCCTCGAGGGCAGACATGAGGGGACTCCCAGTCCTTGTTTGTTCAGACTGGGGTTTCCTGGGATGGGGGGCAAATGGGTCATGGGACACTTTTGCAGCCCTCTTCATGACAGGCTTATAGAGGGCTTATCAGTCTGATGATTCCTGATGAAATTCCAGCAGCATTCATGGCAAGTGCCTCAATTCAAGAGTGCCAAGCTCTCCACAGCTAAAATTAATTTTAGAAAGAAACAGATTCCATTGTAAAGCCCCTGAGTAAATTGGGGTAAGTCAGTGATAAAGTCAGCTACAGCAAGGTGTTCTTTAGCAAAAGTTTGACAACCACAGACTTAAGCATTTAATACAGATGCCTCAGTCATGAGTGCAAGCTTTTACATATTTGTTACAGCTTTATTTCTTTAGTATTTTATTTTACTAACTTGTGTATGTGTGCTAGTGTTTGTTTAGGCATTATTGTTAATGTATTTATATAAATGTATTCTTTTTTAAGCTGAAGCATATGATTTGATTGCACAAGATGAAGAAGAATTTAATAAAGAGCATCAATTTATGCAGGTTTGTAATTATTTGCTTTATCCAAAATTTAAAATTTTTCCTGCATTAATGTAAATTCAGGCAAAATGTTCTTTCTTTCTGAATATATATACAGTTAGTATATAATTATTTTATATTTTTCTCATGAAAATATGAGACAACTAGACATTTTCTAGACAGCTAGACAACTTCTGTTTTTTCCCTCATACTCTAAATTATTAATTGAAGATCATTGACATACTGAAATATATCTTTAATTCACTGAAAATTGCTTTAATGCCCTTAATGGATATTTCCGTAGTTTATTTTTATTGTTCTTTTTTGAGACAGGGGCTTGCTCTGTCACTCAGGCTGGAGTGCAGTGATTATTTTTTGTAGAGATGGAGTCTTGCTATGTTGCCTAGACTGGTCTCGAACTCCTGGGCTCAAGCAATCCTTCTGTCTTGGCCTCCAAAAGTGCTGAGATTCGGTGTGAGCCACTGTACTGGGTTATATTTCTATAGTTTTAAAAATGTTTTAAAGTGAGGCAATCCTGTTTGTTTTTTGTGAAGATTCTTATTTATGACAATCTAATTTCAATCTTATTTTGAAGATTCAAAATTTATGACTGGTTTGATGAAGCAACATATTCTTCTTGTAAAATAATAATAATAAGCAACATTCTTATTATTTTTCAGATGGGGTTTTGCCATGTTGCTCAGGCTGGGCTTGAACTCCTGAGCTCACATGATTCTCCCATCTTGTCCTCCTAGGTAGCTGAGATTGCAGGAAAGCACTGTCGTGAGCAACTCGTGATCGTGCGTATTATAATTCAGGTGTTCAAAAATACTCATTTTCCTTCTCTGGACTTCATTATGCTTCAGAGTCCAATTTTTTTTTGGTCTAGTGTTAAAAAAATTTTTTTAAAATTTTCTTGGTAAGATTTTTAAAATTATTGTATATTAGAACAACAGAAAGGTGACTTTCTGGGGGAAAGAAATGAAACAATAACTTTCTTCCTAGGAAGAAAACATAGATGCTCATAACACTTCGGTTGCACTGGGTGATACGTCCTGGGGAGCTACAATTAATTACAGTCTGTTGAGGAAATCACATAGCACATCAGATTTGGATAAAGATGATGCCAGTTATTTACGTCTATCTTTAGGAGAGTTCTTTGCTCAAAGATCTGAAGCTCTTGGTTGCCTTGGTGGTGGTAACAATGTAAAAAGAGTAAGTATGGAATCTGTTGGAAGTGCTCACAGTCACCAGATTTTAGATTTTGAGTATTACGATGGCATAGTAACTTTAAAATGGAGACAGAATAAGGGTGGGACAGAAGAGTAAAAAACTTAGATTTTATTGTCAGACCCTTATTCCAGTCCTAGGTCTGTCTTTTAGCTAGTTTCAGAACATTGAGCAATTTAAATCCTCTGTGCCTTAATTTCCCTTTTCTTTTTTTTTTTTGAGCTGGAGTCTCAAATTGTTGCCTGAGCTGGAGTGCAGTGGCACGATCTTTGCTCACTGCAACCTCTGTGTCCCAGGTTCAAGTGATTCTCTTTGCCTCAGCCTCTCAAGTAGCTGGGATTACAGGCACTCACCACCAGGCCTGGCTAATTTTTTTGGTATTTTTAGTAGAGATGGGGTTTCACAATGTTGACTAGGGGGTCTTGAACTCCTGACCTCGCGATCCTCCAGCCTCGGCCTCCCAAATTCTGGGATTACAGGCGTGAGCCACCACGCTTGGCCTAATTTCCTATTTCTTAATAGCACACTGTTTTATAGGGCTTTGTAACATTTAAATGTGATGGTCCATGTAAAACATTTAGCACTAAGCCAACATGTAGTAAGTATTTAATAGTTGTTCATTGCTTCTGTTATTGTTGGTTACTGTGAAGAATTCTAAAAATGATTTTTAAAAACTATTATCTAAAGAGATGTTTTGAAATATGGAAGTGTTTTCATTTAATTAAATGTAGTGCATGTACAAATAAAAAGACAAGTTGTTCGGGTAGTGTTAAGTGCTGTAAAGCATGAGTGAGTAGAAGGAGCTACTTTAGCTGTGCTGGTCAGGTTGACATTTGGGGGAGGACATTGAGTTGGCATCTCAGTGATGAAAAGGGGGCAGCATGCCAGGCACAGTGGCTCATGCCTATAATCTCAGCACTTTGGGAGGCTGAGGTGGGCAGATCACCTGAAGTCAGGAGTTTGAGACCAGCCTGGCCAACATGGTAAAACCCTGTCTCTACCAAAAATAGACAAAATTAGCCAGGTGTAGTGGCGCGTACCTGTACTCCCAGCTACTTGGGAGGCTGAGGTAGGAGAATCGTTTGAACCTGGGAGGCAGAGGGTTGCAGTTAGGTGAGATCACTCTACTTCACTCCAGCCTGGGCAACAGAGTGAGACTCCATCTCAAAAAAAAAAAAGGAGGCAGCAGAGGGAGACATTAAAAAAAAAGATTGTGTTTCTTTTGTAAGAAGAAATAAGACTTCTCCCTCCATCAGTGACCTGGCCTTTGTCTGTGTGCAGATCTGGAGATAGGAACCAGGGTTTCCTGTTGGAGGAATGGAAATCAGGCATGAGGCGCAGGGTGGGCGTGTATGAAGGGAGAATGGCAGATGATTCTGAGGACCAGATCATGAGGGCTTCCAGTAGAGGGAGGTTTTATCTCATATGAGCAAGGGAGGAAGTGCTTAGAGGCACAGAGCAACTTTGTTGTGGTGCTGGCCCATCTCCAGGTACAGCAGGCTGCTGCCATATGTCAGGTGCCCAGGTAGAGAAAGTCAGCAAAAGACAGAAGGTGGAAAGAAGCAGGTAGAGGCTTAGGAAATGGGAGAGACGTGATGAAGGATGACCTAGTAGAAGCAGAGAAAAGGGCAAGAATTCAAGATTTATTCTCTAGAGTCAAGGAATTTGTTGATAAATTCCACAAAGGAAATTAGGGTTATTTGAGGGAGTTTTTATCACAACTGGATTTCATTAAGAATATGATTGTGAAATAATAGTTGTAGTGTAGAAGTTACAGTTGATTCATAGAACTTTTAAGTTGAACTGTGGTCTTGTTCAGTGCAGTAAATTGAAAAATGAAAATATTTTAGAAAGGTGGATTTTTCTGCTTAGATTGATTGTGACTTTGAGATTATGACAGAAGTTGAAGATTAACTGAATTCCTCAATGGAATTATAATAAGGAAAGATAAGATGGACAAAGCACTGGAAAAATTGATCTATTATTTGGATTTTTTGTTTTGGTATAAGTTATGAAGTTTTGTTTGCATTCAAGTTACTGAATCAAGGGGAGAAATAAGTGAAGACCAGTAAAAAAATTGAGTGCATTTAATGAGTTCACATTTCAGCTCTGTCATGTGACTCCTATATAAGAATGACAAGTGGAAATTGCCCATCCTTTAGCAAGCTCCTTAAATGCAAACCTTCCAGAAACTTATACGCAAGTTGGTAGAAGGGTCCCTAATTTTAATACAGATTTTTCACAGATGTGTTTATTCCATAAAATAAAGTACCTTTATATTGTGATTTCCAGGAAGCAGGAGTTTTTATCTTTTTTTTATTTTTATTTTTTATATATTTTTTGAGATGGAGTTTCTCTCTTGTTACCCAGGCTGGAGTGCAATGGCACGATCTCGGCTCACCGCAGCCTCCGCCTCCTGGGTTCAAGCAATTCTCCTGCCTGAGCCTCCCGAGTAGCTTGGACTACAGGCGCGTGCCACCATGCCCAGCTGATTTTTGTATTTTTAGTAGAGACAGGGTTTCACCATGTTGACCAGGATGGTCTCGATCTCTTGACCTCGTGATCCACCCGCCTCGGCCTCCCAAAGTGCTGGGATTATAGGCGTGAGCCACCGCGCCCGGCCTGTTTTTTCTAATTAATATGTCACTGATGATTAAACAGTGTCTAACACATAATAGATGTTCAATAATAATTATCGAAGGGATAAAGTATTTCTGTGTTGGTTTTTTTGAGACAGAGTCTGCTCTGTTGCCTAGGCTAGAATGCAGTGGCATGATCTTGACTCATCTTATCCTCTGGTGCCTCAGCCTCCTGAGTAGCTAGGACTACAGGTGTTCACCACCACCCCTGGCCAATTTTTATGTTTTTAATAGAGATAGAGTTTTGCCAGGTTGGCCAGGCTGGTCTTGAACTTGTGGCCTCTCAAAGTGCTAGTATTACAGGTGTGAGCCACTGCGCTCGGCCTCATTTCTGTGTTTTAATTTGAATTTCTTAGTAAGGGCAATTTATTTGACAATATGAGTTCAACGATTAAAAGGTAGCTAGTATTAAGGAAATGAGAGGTCCTATTTGGACCTTTGAAAGTCATCTCTAGTAATTGAGGTTAAGTGGGAAGAACAGTTCTTTGATGTTATTTAGCTGTGTTACTAGTATTAGATAAAATAGTCTAGAATTTCTCAAAGCAGTTGAAAATCAAAGAAATAATTTACATTTAATTATTTTGTAGCCATCATTTGGCTATTTTATTAGATCACCAGAGAAGAGAGAACCTGTTGCCTTAATAAGAAAGTCTGATGTATCGAGAAGTAATTCAGAAAAAGAAATTGCTCATCTTAACCATGATATGTATTCAGGTAATGGATTAAATAAAGGGGCTTTTCAGAATCTTTTTTTTCTTTCTTAAAAGTGTAACTTAGGTGTTGTGTGATCATGTTCTTTATGAGTGAAAATGTGTATGACACTTAGTATTTTTTCAGTGTTGGTTATAGATTTGATTTATTTGTAACTCTGCATATTCTTTTCAGTCTAAAGTGGAAACAAGTCAGTCAAAATCTACCTAAGTTTGCAAAAACCACAGTAAATGAAATAATTTCAAATGGGCTAGTTAATGTTGGCTGTTGAATTATTGAGTTAATTAATCATAGGTATATTTATTATTTAGGTAGACTTTTAAAGATCTTTTGAGATTTAAACTATGATAGTCTAAATATCAGTTTTTATGATAAATATCTATAATATTTTAAATCAAATGTGCTTGCTCAACTTAGAGTTATCAAGCAGCTGCTTTTTGTTAGTACAATGCCTTTTGCTACATATCATGTAAAGTTGTATAAGATATGCTCCATTCCTTAAGGAGCCTGTATTCCAGTAGGGGAGTTGGAACAAAGGGTCCGTGTATAGAAAGTCAGCTCATTTTCCATTTCTCTAAAGATGCACTCACTTACTTCTTTAAAGCTTCTGTCTTTTATTTTTTCTTTTCTTTCTTTACTTTTCTTTCTCTCTCTCCCTTTCTCCTCCCTCCCTCCCCTTCTCCCTCCCTCCCCTTCTCCCTCCCTCCCTCCCTCCCTCCCTCCCTCCCTCCCTCCCTCCTTCCTTCCTTCCTTCCTTCCTTCCTTCCTTCCTTCCTTCCCTCCCTCCCTCCCTCCCTCCTTCCCTCCTTCCCTTGCTTCCCTTCCTTCCCTTCCTTCCCTTCTTTCCCTTCCTTCCCTTCCTTTCCTTCTTGTCTTTGCTTCTTTTCCTTCCTTTCATTCTTGAGGGTCTCACTCTGTTGCCCAGGCTGGAGTGCAGTGGTGTGATCTTGGCTCACTGCAACCTCCACCTCCCAGGTTCAAGCAATTCTCCCACCTCAGCCTTTCGAGTAGTTGGATCACAGGTGTGCACCACCACAGCCAGCTAATTTTTTTTTTGTATTTTTGGTAGAGCTGGGGTTGTAGCATGTTGGCCAGGCTGGTCTCAAACTCCTGACCTTCAGTGATCCCTACCTCAGCCTCCCATAGTGCTGGGATCACAGGCGTGAGCCATTGCACCCAACCAAGAAGTATTAACTTTGGAATTCAACTTATTGTATGTTTGTGAAATGGTTAAATGAGTTTATACGTGTATTTGCAAGGGAGAGATTAAAATCCACAACCCTCCTTTAAAGTTGGGACCTTGTAACGTTGAGCCAAATTAATTATGTAGTTGTTCTCTGTCTGAGTGACTATGCATTTAAACCGTTTTAGTGAAGGCAACTGACATTTGGGGTACAAAGATACCTTCCTTGGTGATTAATCATTTTGCCTGGTCCTTATTCCACAGATTGTGTTTGCCAAATAGTGAATACTTATAAATTAAATGTTATATATTTCCTGCAGTAGATTTAAATGAACAGTCCGAGGCACGGCTAAGTGAAGGATCAATTACACTTCAGGTTGAAGCTGTGGAGAGTACTTCACAAGTGGATGAGAAGGATGTGACATTAACAGCTGATAAAGGCGAGACAGAGGTAGCTTAAGCCTTTCAAAAGGAAATCTAAGATTATCTTGTTGTAGTTGTTATATAGGATTAAGACGAGATCACCTGTGAAAAATATATGCAGTTTAACATGTTTTCTTTCCTGGCTTCAAATTTCTTGCAAGTGTCCTTTATATATTTCTTTAAGTTTTTATCACTATATAACATATACACAAAAGAGATTATAAAACAGATTTGTAGTCATTGAACGAATTATCACAACTCATACACTTGTGTACACCTCAGATCAAGAAAGAGAACATTGCCAACAACCTAGAAACAAGTTTTTTTGCCACCTCCAGTGACCTTTTAACCCTGTATTAATTTCATCCGATTTTGAACTTCACATAAAAGAAACCATGTAGCATGTATTCCTTTTCTTTGGCATTTTTCATCTCAGCATACCATGGTCAGATGAGTATAATAGAAACTTATTTTTATTACTGTATTGTATTCTGTTCTATGAATATTCTGTTGCTTTTATATCCGTTTGTATTGTTGATGAACATTTGGGATATTTCCACTGCTGGACAATTATAAAACAATGCTCCATGAACAGCCTAGTACCTGGGACGTGTGCACACATTCATGTGAGGTATATATGTATGTTGTGGAGTTTGCACACCTTCAGTGGTTTTCACAGTTCTCCAGAGTGGTTGTACTGTGTAGATTTGTTCAAGATGGTGTGCTGCCTGTCACTGCACTTCCTCGCCAGCACCTGGTATCACTCGTTATTCTCGTGGGTGCTCAGTGGGGACTTCTTGTCTTCATGTGTGTTTCCCTGATTACTAATGAAGCTGGTTCTTGCTCATGTTTGCTGGTCATTTGGAGGCTTATTTTGTGAAGTGCCTGTTGAAGTCTGTTGCTCTAATGGATAGTTTGTTTTATTTGATTTATAGGTGTTCTTTACGTTGGATAGGAGCCTTTTGTCAGTTGCATCCCATGCATTGTTTTCTTTTATCTCCTGTGTTTTGATACGTCATATTTTCATTATCATTCAGTTCAATATATTGTCTAATTTCATTGGTACATGAGCTTTTTTTTTTGAGACGGAGTTTTGCTCTTTTTAGCCAGGCTGAAGTGCAATGGCGCGATCTCGGCTCACCGCAGTCTCCGCCTCCTGGGTTCAGTCAATTCTCCTGCCTCAGCCTCCTGAGTAGCTGGAATTACAGGCATGCACCACCATGCCCAGCTAATTTTTTGTATTTTTTTTAGTAGAGACGGGGTTTCACCATGTTGACCAGGATGGTCTCGATTTGTTGACCTTGTGATCCACCTGCTTGGGCCTCCCAGAGTGCTGGGATTACAGGCTTGAGCCACTGCACCCGGCCCGTGAGCTTTTTAAAAAAGTGTATTGCTTAGTTTCCAAATATGTAGGAGATTTACTAATTTTTGAAATAACTGATTTTAGGCCAAATGTACTATAGTCAGAGAATTTTTAGTTTTAAGCCTTTGAAATTTTTTTGAATACAATATATAGCTCAGCATTTATTCAGGTTTTGAAAGTATTTTCTGTACACTTGTAGGGAATGTCTGTTATGTGACTTAATGTCTGTTTCACTTAGGTGAGATTAATTTAAATTGGGATGTTCAAGCTACCTGCATTCTTAAAATTATTGTGTTATTCTTTTTTTTTTTTTTTAACATCTCAGTTGTTTATTTTTATTTATTTTTAATTGCATTTTAGGTTTTGGGGTACATGTGAAGATCATGCAAGATTGTTGGATAGGTACACACATGGCAGTGTGATTTGCTGCCTTCCTCCCCATCACCTATATCTGGCATTTCTCCCCATGCTATCTCTCCCCAACTCCCCACCCCCTGCTGTCCCTCCCCTTTTTCCCCCCGACAAACCCCAGTGTGTGATGCTCTTCTCCCTGTGTCCATGTGTTCTCACTGTTCAACACCCACCTATGAGTGAGAACATGTGGTGTTTGATTTTCTGTTCTTATATCAGTTTGCTGAGAATGATGGTTTCCAGGTTCATCCATGTCCCTACAAAGGACACGAACTCATCGTTTTTTATGGCTGCATAGTATTCCATGGTGTATATGTGCCACATTTTCCCTGTCCAGTCTATCATCAGTGGGCATTTGGGTTGCTTCTAGGTCTTTGCTATTGTAAACAGTGCTGCAGTGAACATTTGTGTGCATGTGTCCTTGCAGTAGAATGATTTATAATCCTTTGGATATATTCCCAGTAATGAGATTGCTGGGTCAAATGGAATTTCTATTTCTGGGTCCTTGAGGAATCGCCACACTGTCTTCCACAGTGGTTGAACTAATTTACACTCCCACCAACAGTGTAAAAGTGTTCCTATTTCTTCACATCCTCTCCAGCATCTGTTGTCTCCAACTTTTTTAATGATCACCGTTCTAACTGGTGGGAGATGGCATCTGAATGTAGTTTTGATTTGCTTTTCTCTGATGACCAGTGATGATGAGCATTTTTTCATATGTTTGTTGGCCTCATGTATGTCTTATTTTGTAAAGTGTCTGTTCATATCCTTCATCCACTTTAGAATGGGCTTGTTTGTTTTTTTCTTGTAAATCTGTTTTAGTTCTTTGTAGATTCTGGATATAAGCCCTTTGTCAGATGGGTAGATGGCAAAAATTTTTTCCCATTCTGTTGGTTGCCGATTCACTCTAATGACTTTTTTTTTCTGTGCAGAAGCCGTGGAGTTTGATTAGGTCCCATTTGTCTCTTTTGGCTTTTGTTGCCAATGCTTTTGGTGTTTTAGTCATGAAGTCCTTGCCTAAACCTATGTCCTGAATGGTTTTGCCTAGGTTTTCTTCTATGGTTTTTATGGTGTTAGGTCTTATGTTTAAGTGTTTAATCCATCTGGAGTTAATTTTAGTGTAAGGCGTCAGGAAGGGGTCCAGTTTCTGCTTTCTGCACATGGCTAGCCAGTTTTCCCAACACCATTTATTAAACAGGGACTCCTTTCCCCATTGCTTGTTTTTGTCAGGTTTGTCAAAGATCGGATGGTTGTAGATGTGTGGTGTTGCCTCCGAGACCTCTATTCTGTTCCATTGGTCTATATCTCTGTTTTGGTACCAGTACCATGCCATTTTGATTACTGTAGCCTGTAGTTTGAAGTCCGGTAGTGTGATGCCTCCTTCTTTGTCTTTTTTGCTTAGAATTGACTTGGCTATGTGGGCTCTCTTTTGGTTTCATATGCAGTTTAAGGTGGCTTCATCCAGTTCTATGAAGAAGGTCATTGGTAGCTTGATGGGGTTAGCATTGAATCTGTAAATTACTTTGGGCAGTATGGCCATTTTCATGATATTGATTCTTCCTAACCATGAACAGGGAATGTTTCTCCGTCTGTTTGTGTCCTCTTATTTCGTTGAGCAGTGGTTTGTAGTTCTCCTTGAAGAGGTCCTTTACATCCTTTGTTAGTTATATTCCCAGGTATTTTATTCTCTTCATAGCTAATGTGAATGGCAGTTCGTTCTTGATGTGGCTCTCTTTAAGTCTGTTATTGGTGTATAGGAATGCTTGTGATTTTTGCACATTTATTTTGTATCCTGAGACTTTGCTGAAGTTGCTTATCAGTTTCAGGAGATTTTGGGCTGAGATGATGGGGTCTTCTAGATGTAGAAAAATGTCGTCTGCAAATAGAGACAATTTGATTTTCTCCTTTCCTAATTGAACACCCTATATTTCTTTTTCTTGCCTGATTGCTCTGGCTAGAACTTCCAATACTGTATTGAATAGGAGTGGTGAGAGAGGGCATTCTTCCTTAGTGCCAGATTTCAAAGGGAATGCTTCCAGTTTTTGCCCATTCAGTGTGATATTGGCTGTTGGTTTGCCGTAAATAGCTTTTATTATTTTGAGATATGCTCCATCAATACCTAGTTTATTGAGGGGTTTCAGCATAAAGGGCTGTTGAATTTTGTCAGAGGCCTTCTCTGCATCAGTTGAGAAAATCATATGGTTTTTGTCTTTGGTTCTGTTCATGTGGTGAAATACTTGCATAAGTTGGACTAGCCTTGCATCCCCATGATGAACCCTACTTGATCATGGTGGACAAGCTTTTTAATGTGCTTTTGGAATCGGTTTTCCAGTATTTTATTGAAGATTTTTGCATCTGTGTTCATCATGGATATTGGCCTGAAGTTTTCTTTTCTGCTCAGTCTCTGCGAGGTTTTGGTATCAGGATGATGTTTGTCTCATGAAATGATTTGGGAAGGATTCCCTCTTTTTGGATTGCTTGGAATAGTTTCAGAAGGAATGGTACCAGCGCCTCTTTGTCTGGTAGAATTCAGCTGTGAACCCTTACGGACCTGGGCTTTTTTTATGTGGTGGGTTCTTAATTGCTGCCGCAACTTCTGTCCTTGTTATTGGTCTATTCAGTGTTTCAACTTCTTCCTGGTTTAGGCTTGGGAGGATGCAAGTGTCCAGGAATTTATCCATTTCTTCCGGGTTTACTAGTTTATGTGCATATAGTTTTTTGTAATACTTTCTGATGATGGTTTGTATTTTTGTGGAATCTGTGCTGATATCCCCTTTATCATTTTTTTATTGTATCTATTTGATTATTCTCTCTTTTCTTTTTTATTAATCTGGCTAGTGGTCTATTTTGTTGATCTTTTTGAAAAACCAGCTGTTGGATTTGTTGATTTTTTTGAAAGGTTTTTTGTGTTTCTGTCTCCTTCAGTTCTTCTCTGATCTTAGTTATTTCTTGTCTTCTGCTAGGTTTTGAGTTTTTTTATCTTGCTCCTCTAGCTGTTTCAATTTTGACGATAGGGTGTCGATTTTAGATCTTTCCTTGCTTCTCATGTGGACATTTATTGGTATGTGTTTTCCTCTGGAGACTGCTTTAAATGTGTCCCAGAGATTCTGGTATCTTGTGTCTTCATTCTCATTGGTTTCAAAGAACATCTTTATTTCTACCTTCATTTAATTGTTTATCCAGTCAACATTCAAGAGCCAGTTTTTCAGTTTCTCTGAAGCTGTGCAGTTCTGAGTTAGTTTCTGAATTCTGAG